TGACCCAGATGAGTTTTTCCAACAATTGACAATGATTTCATGGTGATCAGTAGATTATTAATTCCATTTTTTTTTATTATTGAATTCAAATTCCACATTTGCCATGGTGGGATTCCCCAGAACATTAGCTGAGTTTCTGAATGAATAGTCTAGCAATAGTCCACTAGGTCATCGATAGAACATGATATATCTTTCCTTAAATAAGGGGAACAAAACTGCTCACAGTACTCCAGATGAGGTCTCAGCAGCACCTTGTATGGTTGCAGTAAGACTTTCTGCCTCTTATACTCCACCCCCCTTGACATAAGGGCCAACATTCCATTAGCCTTCCTGATTACCTGCTGCACCTTTCTGTGTTTCATATACAAGTTCCCCCAAGTCCCTTTGTGTTACAGCTTTCTGTAGTATTTTTTCCTATTTAAATAATATGCTGTTCTTTCCCCCCCTTTCAAAATGAACAGCTTCAAACTCCCCCCTATTATTCTCCATTTCCCAACTTTTGCCCAATTAACCTGTGATATCAAGTTGTAAATTGTTCAATCCCTCTCTCCACCTGCCTTTCCACCTATTTTTGTGCCATCTGCCAATCTAGATACAGTACATTCACTTCCTTCCTCCAAGTCATTAATATAAACAGTTGAAGTCCCATCACCGATCCATGTGGAACCCCACTGGTTACAGGTTACCAGCCGGAAAAAGCGTCCCTTTTCCCCACTCACTGTTTCCTGCCCATGAGCCAATTCTCTATCCGTACCAATATTACTCAGTGCTTGAGCTTTCACAGCTGTCTAGAGTTGAGAATTTCAAAGATTCACCACCCTCTGAGTGAAAACAAAACTCTCCTCATCTCAGTTCTGAATTACTTTGCCTTTTATCCTCAGTCTGTGTCCCCTGGTTCCAGATCCCACAGCTTGGGGAAACATCTTCTCTGTATGTAAAATAAAGAACTGAAAGAACTGCAGATGCTGGAAATTAGAAACAAAAACAGAAATTGCTGGAAAAACTCTGCAGGTCTGTTTGCAACTGTGGAAAGAAAGTAGAGTTAACGTTTTGGGTCCAGTGACCCTTCGAATCCAGTCTACTGTATTCACTGCTCACAATATGGTTTCCTCTACATTGGTGAAACAAAGTGCAGACTGGGAGACCGCTTTGCAAAACACCTGTGGTCTGTCCACAAAAAAGACTCTGAGCTTCCTGTTGAGAGATAGTAAGAACTGCCGACGCTGGAGTCAGAGATAACACAGTGTGGAGCTGGAGGAACACAACAGGCCAGGCAGCATCAGAGGAGCAGGAAAGCTGATGTTTTGGGTCGGGATCCTTCTTCAGAAATCTGAAGGAGGGTCCCAACCCAAAAAGTCAGCTTTCCTATTCCTCTGATGCTGCCTGGCCTGCTGTGTTCCTCCAGCTCCACACAGCTTCGTGTTGCCTGCCACTTCAACACACCACTGTGTTCCCTGGCCAACATCTCTATCTCAGGCTTGCTGCAATGCTCCAGCAAAGCTCAGCGCAAGCTGAAAGAACAGCACCTCATTTTCCGCTTGGGAATCCTGCAGCCTTCTGGACTCAGCGTTAAGTTCAACAGTTTTAGGGCTTGAGCATCTTCCCCATGTTTTTCCCCAACCCCAGACACCAGGCCTCGTCATTACAACTCATAAGAGAAGGATCACTGGACCTAAAACATGAACTCTGCTTTATCTCTACAGATCCTGCCAGAGCTGCTGAGTTTCTCCAGCAATTTCTGTTTTCTGCATGTAGCCTGTTTAAACTTTTAAATATTTTGTAAATTTCAGCTGAAATCACCACTCATTCTTCTAAATTCCAAGAATGCAGGCCCAATCCTCTCTGTCTCTCATCACTGGACTGAAGCACCATCCCAGGAATAAGTGTGATGAGCTTCTGCTGCACTCCTTCCAAAGGAACTATTTCCTCCCTTAGACAAGGGGACTGGAATTGCACACAATAGCAGTTTCACCAGGGTTCTATACATTTGATGCAAGATTTCTTTGCTTTTGTAGTCAAATCCTCTTGTAATAAAGACTAGCATTACTGTTTGCCTTCTGATTCACTTGCTGCACCTGCATGCCACCTTTCAGTGAGTTATGAATAAGGACATCATGGATATCTATATTGTCCAATCTCTCATCATTTGTGGAATACGCCTGCACCTCTGTTCTTCCTACAAAAGTAGGGGACCTCATAATTATTCACATTATATTCTGTCGGCCATGCCCTTGCTCACTCTATCAGCCTTCTGTCCAAATGTTCCTGAAGCCTCTGCATTCTTCCCACGACTCGTTACCACTAAGAGATAGTAGGAACTGCCGATGCTGGAGAATCTGAGATAACAAAGTGTAGAGCTGGATGAACACAGCAGGCCAAGCAGCATCAGAGGAGCAGGAAAGCTGACGTTTCGGGTCTGGACCCTTTTCTGAAGAAGGTCCAGACCTGAAACGTCAGC